AGCCAGTGAGCGGGAACCGGTCTGTATGTGGGATCCGAACCCTTGGCGGGAGCTACACCGCGCTCCCAAGCAGCGCACTGTAGCAGTGCGCCACCGGGCCGGCCCCCATTTGCTTTTTCAAACCGCCTGGTGTCAGTTTCTCTTTAGAATGTTTCTGTTCATTCTAAAGGAGATACTTGCAACCTGTTGTATGCAGGACACTGCTAGCCCCTTCCATCTGTTCTAGAAACCAAACGGCAGGCAGTAAGGTAGTTCATTCAGAGGTCACTGGGCCGCTGTTTCTTAGGATACAGCACAGTTTGCTGCAGGGCAGCTGCCTGGTTCTCCAGAGCACTGGGAAAGCTGCCCCCTGTAGCTGCGGCCCGCACCCACCCTGTCCAGGGCTCTTCCAGCTTTAGTCTGCTTCCCCCAGTTCTCCAGCAGTCCCCCAGTTTTGTTTTCATTAAAGTTGTAAAAGAGTTGTAAGAAGAATTTCCCAGAGAATTTTGTTACTCTGCCAGGTTTCGCCACAGTTGGTTGGATTTTAAGTCCCCGTGCCCTGTTAATGCTACTCCTGGCCTGTGGTTGTCATCTCAGCTCTGTTGTCAGAGCTGAAGCAAGGACTCAGAGGGAACTCCTGCCTTAGTTTTGACAATGGGAGAAGCAGTCATTTTCTCATTTTTCTCACATGTACTTTCACGAAAATTACAAATGTAAAATTTCTACAAAATCAAGGTGAAAGTGAATTATATAGTATGTACATGCATATTATCTTCTGAACTGTACATTTGGTTAAAATATATTCTCTCCTTAATTATGGTTGGAAGTGATTTAAATATATAAATGATATAAGCAGCTTATTACAAAGTTCTTTGGCGAAAGTTCTTGATTTAGAAAATAAAAATTAAGATGAATTAAGCCAAGAAATCATCTATTTGAATGGCCTCCTTTAAAAGCAACGCATCCCTTTCTTCCTTTGAGTGAAAGGAAGTCCTCTCCTGTTGCATTTTAATTGACAACATAACAGTAGTCTGTTGCTGAACTTTTGCATTTCAGTTGCAGTATTGCAAGATGGGGAAAAAACAGTTGCTAAGTCTTAGCCACTTAATTTTAGTATTGTAAAAACAGGGAGTGGATGTTGTGGATAGCGGGGCGACGTGAGGAAGGTACCAGGGCCTCGGCTGGCTTTCAGGACCCCTCTCAGTAGCCCCGTAAGGCCCATGGAAGCCCAGAGGGGTTCAATAACCCATCCAGGCTGCAGGGCGGTCAGGCTGGACTCCAACATGGCTGTGACTTATGGATCCCACACCCCTGCAATGAACAGCCCTCCGGTGTCTGCTACCTGCTGATGAGCTCAGCCTTTACAGAGAAAATCTGATTAAATCCCAGGAAGTCTGATTCAAAACACCAGTTTGCCTTCCTCGGTCCCCCACACACGTGTACCGTTTGGTGAGCAGATCACATTAGAATTGTGAAATTCTCCATCCTTACAGCATATTTCGCTTTTATCATAAAGACATTTAAGTGGGTCGGAGGAATCAAAATGTTTTGTCATGATTTGAGTTCCAGGGAACATCTCCCACCACCACGTTTTGGTGACTTGGGTCTGCGCTCTCAACGTGGGAGCGCTCGGCGGCCCTTGTGAGAAAGCGGCTTCAGTAAATGTCACCCTTTTTCTCTTGGTTCAAACCTCTGCTTTCTCAGCGTTGCCGGTGTCTGCGCTTACCCCCATCCTGGCTGTAATGTCACTGGCAGGTTGTAATAAAGTGAGGCCGCTGCTGTCTATTCAGCAGACTCCTGCTTGGGGTCAGGTCACATGACTGGTACCCCCATCTGCACCTGTAACTCACCAGTGTGCGGAGCAGCAGGGAAGGTGGGGCAGGGAGTGGGGCGCAGAGAACCTAACGCTGGCTGACACAGCACGTGGGGACACAGAGTGAAGGCAGCTCGAGGTCGGAATGGCCACTTTTTGTCAAAGCAGAGGACATACCTGGCAGGCCAGAAGCCATCCTCAGGAGATGAGAGCCAGATCAAGGAGAGGAGGCTCAGGATAGGGGGAGGCGCCCTGGCTCTGCCACTAGTGTTTATATTGATCTGGTCAGCCCAGCAGCAGCACTCATTTACAAAAACAACAATGTTGCTATCTTTAATTTAGGATCTTTGAAATATGACAGCATTACCATTTAAAGTTTGCTTCTTCAAAAACAGGGATCTGAAAGATTTGAAATAAAATAGATGTATATTTTATTACTAGTCAGAGAGGACTGGGGCTGGGTAAACATCACAGGGCCCTGCCATGTGGTAGCCCCTGGCTTGCGTACTGTCACTTATGTGAGGAGCATCTTCCCGAATTTTACAAGGAAAACAGGCCTTCAAGAGATTAGGCAGTTTTCCCTGAAGCTAAGAAAACGTCCGAGCCAAGATTCAAATTTAGATCCGACTTGACAGCAAAGCTTGGGGTCTTCCTGTCACCCCTCTGCCTCGGAATCAATTCTGTGATCCACAGTAAAAGCAAACAAGCACACAGGCTGGAGTGAACATGTCAACCATGGGACTGAAGTTAGCTGTGAGCATGCTGGCAGTCACAGCAAAGGGGGAGGTAGGATAATCAACACAGTCCTAGTCATTTTCCAAGTGGAAGCATGCCTTGAAAAACAAGTTTCTCTTTGGTGCTGAATTTGAGGCACAGTATATGAAGCATAAAACAGAAGATAAATTTGTTAGCAAGGGTTTTACAGGAAACAGAAGCAGCACCTGTTCATCTAGCTGTCCCTTGATTTGACCCAAGTCCGGGGGGTAGGGGAATGTACGTGTGTGTTCAGGAATATCTGTGCACACGTCTAGAGGGTTGCGTGAGTCAAGCTAATGGGGTCTGAGCTTGAGGCTTTAGGGAAATGCTTGAAGGTTCCTGGAAGGTGGACTGACAACTCCTCCCTCAGACTCTCCTTTGCATATCACGTCTCTGGGCCTGGCTATTATTAGAACTAGCTAACACAATTTGAGGTTATACAATCCGAGAGCCTGGGGCCCTGGCATTTTAAGTTGTTGATTAAGGGGAAATGAATATGCTTTGGAAGATCAGTGTTTAACCAGTAGGGTTGATATTTTGGTATAACAATTGGGAAACATGAGCCTTGTTTTCATCTGGGTCGTAAGCCATCCCACCTGCGCAGTGTAGCTGAGCAGGGTCAAGGATTTCCTGGAGGAGGAGGTCAGGTCTGCTGAGGGCTCACAGGGAGCTCAGAGGAGCTGCGGAGGGCAGGAAGCTGGTAGCCCAGGTTGGGATCCCCCAAGGGAGAGTGCAGAGAGGAGAGGTGAGCAAAGCCACCAGTGTCCGGGTGCAAAAGTATCATAAAGCCTCAGCAGCAGTGAGCTGGCTGCCAACTTACCCAGACCCCAGGCCAGCCCCAGCCCACCCTACGCTTTCTTTAATTGTTCTTTTCAGCAGTGCAGATGGTGAGAACTGACTACAGCTTACTTAGTTGTGCTTTGGAGGTTGTTTAGAAGGATATGATTAAAAGTAAAAGACAGTTTACCTAAAGTTAAAGATAACAATCCTGGTTTTAAAGCTAGAAATTGGAACTAGAAAATCCCAAAAATTCAAGGTGTTTTGTTTAACATGATAGATAAATTGAGCTCATTTGATTATACTTAAAAGTTGATTACAGGGGCCGGCCCGGTGGCGCACTGGATAGTGCGCCGCTTGGGAAGCGCGGCGGTGCTCCCGTCCGAGGGTTCGGATCCCACATACGGACCGGTTCCCGCTCACTGGCTGAGCAGGGCGTGGGAGCAACACCGAGGGTTGCAATCCCCTTGCCGGTCCCCGGTCCGGTACGGGGGCAACACTGAGGGTTGCGATCCGTTGCTGGACACGGAAAAAAGACCAAAAAAAAAAAAAAGTTGATTACACAATGATTGAATCCCAGGATTATAGTATCTTTAAATTTAGGTACTGTTTTTTAAGCATGTTTAATCAAGAACCTTTTGTTGATGCTGAAAATGTAAATCCTGACTCTGTTTTATTTTTTATAAAATGTTCTCTAAATGCAAAGAAAAAGTATGAGCTCCTTTTTAATGGACTTACTAGGGAAGGACAATATGTAGATACTCTTTGGGAAATCCAAGTGAATCTTGAACTTCATGGGAGAACCTGCATTAACAGGAAAAAAATGGTGATCAGGGTGTATCTTTTCATTGCTACTGACTTGACAAACATTTTGGTTGGAGGTACTCTATATAACAGCAAGTTTCAAGTCTTACAGTTTTGGCAGTGCCTTGGACAATGTTAAATGAATGAATGAGTAGGTATCTCAGACTCACCTAGTGATTGCTACAAAATTAGGGGAAAACTGAAGCAAGCTAATATGTCAATGTATGCTAACGACCTGTTTTTTAAAAAGTGTTTTAGTTATATTCTAATGATCACTCTTTAGCTGGAATTTTCCTGGTATTCTGTTTGTATCTTCGTGAATCACAACATCAAAGCCTCTTTCTTCATTATTTGTGAATCTGAACAGTTGACTTTTGCACTTTTTGGTTAAACTTACAGTACTATGAAAAGAAATTTTGAATTAAAGATGAAGTACTTTTTCCCATTAATGGTAATTGGTGATACGAACTTCTTCATTAGAATAATAGCAAGATCCCATACTTCTAAAATGGATTGTAAAGTAAGTGATGAAATTACTAATTCTTTCAATGGGACTTCAAACATGTTTTTATTCATATTTTACCAGTATTCACTGTTGTTGTTTTTTTTCCCCAGTATGGCTTTTACTCGTGTTTCTGGTTATTTACAGAACCTTTCTTTCTGATGTTTCTGCTTCTTTAATTGGATTTTATACTTCTTTCCCTTTTTCTTTTGTCTTTCTCTATAGATCTATCAGGTTCAAAAGGTAGGCTCTTCCTTCTTTATTTTCTAATTTGCATGTACTTTTTTGTTGTTTTTTGCCAAGGGCCTGGTCACCTTTCAGAAATAACGCCTTGAACAGAAGATACATTGAAGTTCTTACTGTTTATTTTACTGCTTTGTAAGTGTGTTTGAACAAGAATGCTTAGGTCCCCACGAAAGCAACGTCAGACACATTTCTGTGTACTGAATACTTTTCTTATCTCCATTTTCCTCAAGAAATTAGAAACTTTTTTCTTTAAGAAAAAAGTTCTAATTCTAAAACAAAATAAAATCACATTTCAGAATTTAGGGAACCTTTTGAAATCATATATTGAAAGGAAAAGATAATTTTTCCAGTTAATTTTTTTAGAAAACTTTGAAAATATCAATGCAAATTACTACGTATTAAGAGATTATTAGATATTGACTTAAAAATCTGAATGAAAAAGACAGTAATGATATAACAATAAAATCCACTAGCTTAAAACAAACCTGTCCTCCATCCCTAATAGTCAGTGTCATATACTAATGTGCATCTCTTTGGTAGTATTTTGTAGAAGCAGCCAAGGTTTAGAAAAAAATACACTGAGCAGGCCAGACACACAAAATAAAGATGAAGACAATCAAGTCAGTAATTCATGATTTAGCAATAATGAAATAAGGAGTGAGCTGTTTCCCGAGAATTTATAGAATTTCTGTGCAGTGAGTTTTTTCTATAAATGAATTTAGTTTGTTACTTATGACATCTATCATAGTTTCTTTTTATAAATTTATTTAGTTTCTAGATAAAGAACAGCCATAAAAAAGTTTATGGAAAGATTCATAGTATCTTTTAATTCCACCTTTTTCCATGAACCTTTTGAAGTACCCTCTTATTTTTCTCCTAGAGCAGCTAAGGAAATCAGGACAAGGTCACTTGGTTTCAGAGGTTAGAGTGTGCAGGCCCTTTATACCCACCGTCAGTACAGTCAGGAGGCTGTTGTGTTGGATTCCTGTACTGGCCACACTCAGAATTGCTTTCCTTTCCGTCCCCTTCACTCCACATAACTACCGTCCCAAAGAGTGCAAAAAAATCAGTTAAGCAGACGCCAGAGTCTATTTGTACTTTGTTAGTTTTTCTAGGCCGCAAGTACTGAAATGGATATTGAAGCTAGAGTTCCCAACCATCCCTAGAGAGTCTCAAGAAGAACTCGACAGGGAGCCCTCGCCATGACTGACAGAGCGAGACATTGCTGCCCAGAGCTAGGAAAGGGCTCCGTCTGGTCATTTGCACTTGAATTTGTCCCTCTCTTGTTCTACATCATTGTCATCTTTTTACCGAGGGCCAGGGATACACTGTGAGAGCTGTGTTGGAATGTGAATTTGTATACAATGTGCAGCTCCAGGGAGCTCCAGAAGTGCTCAGTGAAAGAGCAGATGCATAGTTTTGCACTAAAGGTGTGTCCTTCCAAGAGAAGGAAAGGCTTTTCCTTATCACTAAAATTTATAAAGAGGAAAAGGAGATGATAAACATTCTCTCCCAGCCAAGTTGGCTATTTTACGTCATGGTTTCTCTTAAATCAGTGCTATTTCTGAAAGTCAAGTACTTTTTGCATTAGTTTGGCCTCTGCATGACTCACTGGCTAATTATAGTGGTTTACATTTGAAATATTTTGCCCTTTCTAGACTTTGCTGTGCTGGTGCTGCTAGCTAACATCGCAACTACTAGTTAATTGCACTTGCTGTCTCTAGGGGTGTTCCGCCCCCAGGAATGGCGTGGAAATGCAGCTAGAGTTACAGTAGCTATTTATAAGGCCACCCATGAACCAGGTAAAACATTTTGAATACTGGTTCTTTTATCATGAAAAGAGCAATATATAGAGCGCAGTATTTGATACAGGTATAGAATGGCAAAAAGAAAAATAGGAAAATAGAAATAGCAATAATACAGATTTCTTTTGGAATTTAAATAAATTTATTGTGCATTTCTATGGCCTCCTCCCTTTTTAAAAAACGTTCTTCTATGTAATTAAGCCATGAGGATGGGTGATGACATCACATTTTACATGTGAAAAATCTGGAACTTGACAGTAACTGCGGAGCCAACGTTAATTGAATGCAAAATAGCTTTAAGCTGATGCATTTCACTGAAATTGAAGTTAAAACATGACTTTGGGGGGGGTGCTTTTATTTCCTTTTGGAATTTATATTTTAAGGAAATAAATAACTTACAGAAACAGCTGTGGCTCATATACTTTTTGTATTAGAGTTCAGTTTTGTTGAATTTTTAAAAGCACTGTTAGGTGCTTTTATTTCCTTTTGGAATTTATATTTTAAGGAAATAAATAACTTACAGAAACAACTGTGGCTCATATACTTTTTGTATTAGAGTTCAGTTTTGTTGAATTTTTAAAAGCACTGTTAAATCTTCCCTCCTAATTTTTCATCTTCAATTTTCTACTTACCACCACCCGTAAGACAAGGGGGAGAGGCCGTCTGAGAGCTGTGTATTTTTAAATCTGGCCGCCCTTCAAAATGAAACTAACAGACATAGAACAGCACATTTTGGTTTGTAAAACAATTTCAAAAATTGTCTTATACTTGTAGCATCCCTTTTTTTTCTTCTGATTATAGGATTTCAAAGAGAAAACTCACATCTGTGTTACATGATACAGAGGCCAGGCTGGTTATTCCTTGATTTTCTTATTGGAAGTTGAGGGAAAAGTAAAGAGAAAAGCAAAACTTCATTATTTGAGATTATAACCTGGGGTCCCACCTAACTTTGGGGTTACTGTATTTAGTGACAGTAATCACCATTCTGAGTCTGCTTTTCTAACTCTAACTTGGACCGCTGTGGTTTAGACTAGCAATGTAAACACATGGAGGTATCAGCTAAAGCAAACTCCAAACATAACTTGCATGTCTGCATATTTTTCTTACTGTACAACGACCTCTTCCGTAGGCTACCATCATCTTTCCATTGGTAGCATGCTATAAAGACATCCAAAATATCTGAATTCTCATGGGCCGAAATTCAACATAGGTATCTGGTAGCTGGAACACGTGCACTAGCAATCGAGGCACCAGTGCACATTCTCACCCTCTTTCTTTTCCTCTGGGTTTCCTCATTCCTGATGTAGCCACATGGGAGTGGCTCTCAGTCAACTTTTGCTTCTCTTAAACGGTGTTTTATTTCACCAGTACATTTGCTTTGAAGGCATGAACGGCTTTATAGAGGGGCTTGAAATGCTGCTGGGCTAGTGTCCATTCCTGGTCTTTATGGCGGCCACCCTCCTCACGCCAGGAATGCTTTTGTCCTGGGCTCTCTTGGCTTGTGGGGGTGGAGGGAGCTGGAGGGTCTCCCTGCACAGGCTCACAACCTGCACGGACTGCACGAGCAGCGGCTTCCTCCGTAGAAACCAGCGTGTTGCCAGCCGCTTTGCCTTGGCACGTCACCCTCACTGCGTGGCTGGGGCAGCAATTGGGGAATGCATGTCACAACGGTTTCTTACGCAGTTAACATTTCACTTCTTGCCTAATTTTCTTTCCTTTCTGTCTATAGAAATATTATGGGCTGGATACAAAATGGGGTGACATCGAGCAGTGGATGGTAGGCCTCGAATACAATTTTAAGACTTTAATGGTTTATAACTTAATTCTTATGCAGTTTAATTATGTAGATAGATTCCTATTGCACCATAATCTAATACTGAGAGATTTTCTTCCGGGGTTTTTGCATCTGGTCTCCGACTGTTTACATCCCTGTGGGAAGCCTGCTTACAGGCGGTCCTGGCCAGGCGTTTTTGTCTTGTCTGTTCAGTAGCTTCTGACTGCTGAAGTCTCTAGGCTGGCAGTTTGTGGGGGGTCTCTACTACCGCAGCCTCCCCAATCTCCTGGGGCAGAGGGCTCTCCACTAGGGACTCAGGCTGGGCATGTGTCCCCTGCCATGCGAACTTTCCAGAGAGCTTTCCCATCGCCTCCACGCCTCGCCAGGGTCTAGTTGGCACCCAGAAGGTGCGTTATGCTCCGCTTCCTTCATTCATGATTGCAGCCAGCTGCCCCGTCACCCTCATTCTGACCTTTGTCTGCCTTCGCTGTTGGGTCCCCTCCTCATCTTGTCCACTCTGCCTGCCGAAACCACTGTTCTTTGGTAAGAAAATTCCTTTACCTTCTCCACCCATTTCCTAGAACAGCCCCTCTCCCTTCCTAAGTCAGCTGCGAGCTAGCTGGCCCCTAATGATAACCCTGTCCTTCGGGCCCTTTCAGGAGGAGACAGTGCCCACATGGTGGGGCTCTGGAAGGGGGAGCATCCTGTGTGCTTCCTGCTGGCCCCCAGAGAGCCTGGCTGGGCTCCTTCTCATCGATTCGTCCACCTCTTCCTGTCCCTGTTGCTTTATTGACCAGCCTCAGGGACATCCTCCCATGCTTTTAGCATTTGACAACCTGGCTAGATTTCTATCAATAGGATAGAAATGTCCTATTAAATGTTCATTATACGTAAAACCATCTAAGGGAAATGTAAAATGATCTCCTAACATCTTAGATACGTGTGTATTATATAACAGAACAGTTCCTCAAATAGAGAGAGCACACACTTCCTATATTGAAAAAAATGATTAAATGCAACTGGTGTAACCATCATTTTAGGCTTAATTGGCACAGGCGGATGTATTTTTATCAAATCTTTTTTTTTTTTTTTTTTTTCCTTTTTGTCTCTTTTTTGTGACCGGCAATGGACCGCAACCCTCAGTGTCG